GACGGTTGGGTCGGGCGGGAGGAGGACAACGTTCGGAAGCACTGTTAGCGGCATGCGCAGCATTTTAATTTGGAAGCCAGGCAGTTGTAAATCCCATAGGGAAGGCAGCCAGCAGTCCGAGCAGGCCCAGGGAACGCCCTAAGGCCTTGTGAGGCTGAGGGGTCGGCTCTGAGGCTTGGTGGACACCTCCGAGTGAGGATTCCCAGCCTGTTCAGGCATGGGGATGGGGGCTGTGGGTGCCCAGTCAGATACCAAAAATGAAAAGCAGATGTTTCTTCAGCCATAGGAGCATGTTGCAGCTCCAATGCAGTTGAGTTGTCATAAGGTACGTTTTTGTCCTTATAACTGTGCTGCAATAGGTGTGAGGGAGACAAAGTCACCTCAGAACAGACTTTGAAACCCCTATATTTTTCTAGTTTTCATGTTTCCATCCGTGTGGGTAGATGTGGTGTTTGGCAGGTCTGAACCACAGAACAGATCTCGCTGGTGCCCTCACTGCAGTCAGGACAAAGTAGGTGACAGGTGCTGTGAAGTTAAACTAGAGCATATTTCCTATGCAAATTTCACATGAAAAGGGATGAGCAAGGGCAGGTGGGGAACAGGGATTTGTTTAATAGGGTTGGCAGTGGGAGACAGGGCTCTTCCCAAGGCCATTGGATGCTCTTCAGGGGCCCTCAGTGGAGCTGCTCCTCATGCTCTTTCCAGGGCCCTTTGCCTTGACCAGCAAGGGAGAGGAGGAGACTGCTTCCTACAGCACAAGTAATGACTTACAGTGCTCATCAGACTGCAGCTTCAGAAGTGTTGTTCAATTTTCTAAGTATTTAGTGAGTGAATTTTCAAAGACAAGCACTAAAATTCACCAGAAAGACCTTTGAGCTTGAACTCAGGATCCAAACCTGGCCTGTATTTTGTATTATACAGACTATAGTTATTTTGTTAACAAAACACAAATCTCAAGTGCGTATTTTTCACAGCAGTAATTTTGTTGTCTCATACCATACCCTGAATGTTTCTGTAATATAAATTTAACTACCTCTTGCATGTAGATTTGCTTTATGTATGGATTCATTTTGAAATAATTCAGAAGGATCCTTCTCTTTCTTTCATTGTTGTTGCACTGTTTGATAAGAAGCCAGGCTGTTCTCCTTAGATCTATTGGGCTGTTTAATTGCTCTGCAAACACTGAGGGGTGCTAATAAGCTTTCTTTCAAGCATGTGTTCGTATGTCAACACTTTTGCTTCTGTCAGAAGCTTAAAAATGGAAACAGTTTTCTCTTTAAGAAAACAGGACCCAAATAAGGAGATGATGGAGTGGTGAAGATTCCTCTAGTGAGTCTGTTCCAGCTCATTCCTTAGAAAGGCTGTATATGAAAGATCAGAGAGGAGGCCAACAAATCTGGGCTTTGTCCAGGGGTCTCAGTTTAAAGCTCTCTACAACCACTTGAGCTCATTTTCCCTGTGACTTGGCTGTGCACAACGTCTTCCTCTGCCCACGTCTTCTAAAAAAATCTAATAAAACTTTGGTCTTCAGAATTCTTCTAGTTGTGTGACAGACACAACCTATCCTTTAGCAAAAATGGAAGCGATCAAGAAAAAGATGCAGATGTTGAAGTTAGACAAGGAGAATGCAATTGATAGAGCAGAGCAAGCTGAAGCAGATAAGAAGGCAGCTGAGGACAAATGCAAACAGGCAAGTAGAAATAAAAGTGATTGTATATATACTGTGGAAACAAGTGTAACAAAATACTGTGTTGCAGCTTTCTGATTTAGAAAGCAAAATAACTTGAACTCAGGTTTTCTGCTAATCTTCTTTTGAAGTCTTCTGCCTTTTTGTGATGTTACACAGGTGCAACCAGGACTAAGTATTAATTTATTTTCTCAGCCATCTGAGGCCCTGAAAAATTAGCGTTATCCACAGATTGTTAAGAACACTTTGTCTAAGTTTTCCTGAATGTTACATAATTGTCTTAATTGTCTTGTGCTTGTAATTCCATGGAAAAGACCTTACGGATTCAAAATCAAGGCTGTTAAAGCTACAGATATGTTAATAACTCCTGAAGCGTCAGCTGCATCTAAAAATTTATTGAGCCTTTCCTTGAAGTGAATTAATAGAGTTCAGCTAGCCCTGGTATGTGGAGCGCCTGTGTTAGAGCTTCCAGCTCTGACTAGAGATGCGATATGTTACAATACTTTGTGTGGAATAATCAAAAATATTTGGATTTGAAAGTTCTTATTTTAACTGAATTATACTGATTAAAATTTACATGTCCTTTCGCTTTTCTGTACTTTGTTATTTTAGGTATCTATTTCATATTTGAGCTGTAGTATTTTGAGAAGGATTATGAAATGGATGTTGACTTTTACATTCCATACCTTTTTCCTCTAAATGTAATTACTTCCATTACATCTTGCAGACTGCTCTAATGCATTATTAGTGCTCATTCCTCCAATTATTTTTTTCTGCTCAAGTTCAGTTTGAGATCTTTGAGTGGTATAACTAAACTTTAAACTGATCATCCATGTAGCTAAAACAACAGGAAGGAAAGTTTCTAAACAGGTCAGCTGCTCTGTCTTCCCCTTCTACCCCAAGATAAGGAAAACTACTTGTCTCTCCTATTTCATTACAATACGCTTTTACTATCTTCACACATCACCAGCATGTGTAATACCTATGGCCTCTGAGGTCTTGATCAGATGCTGTCCTATTGGGCCGCATTACTTGCCTAGCTAATCTTTCTGTGCTCAGTGGCATAACAGCCACAGCAGATCATTATCCAGAGCAGTTAATGGTGATTAAATGCTTAACCTTCTATTGCATTTAGTTATCAAATGTGTTTCCCTATGGACTAATGAAGCAAATGATACACTCGTGGGAATTTTCAAGACTATTTTTTACTCAGCTATTACGTATATTAGGGTAATTCACAATAAAAAGCCAAAAAGAGAAAGTATTTGATTGTATTCCTCTTTTCTGAATTGTCTCAAAATTTTCAGCTTTTTTTTTCTTTTGAATGTATTCCCTATTAAAGCATCCATGTAAGCATATTCAGTTTTGTCACACTATCTGGTTGCTCTGAGAAGTATAGCATCGCAACAGTGTTCAAGAATAGCATGCTACCAAAAGTGTTGTTAAAGCTATCTTAAAAGCTAGAATGAAGAAATTAAATGCACTAAAACACAAACTATTTAAGTGAACTGTTTTGATAGCCTAAACTTACATACAGGCGAAGTTAAATGCTTAAATCAGTTTCTGTACAGACTGAACTGTTTTGTGTTGCAAATGAACTGATGGAGCAGATGGGCTCACAAGCCCACCAGTTATCAGCAGTAAGCCTCCTGATAATGCAAATTCTTCAGGGAGCATGAGACAGTTTGTCATTAAACAGTCTCCCACCAGGATATAAATAGTACCATTCTAGCAGACAATATGGATTTATATGGTATGGTGGAGTGTGACCCTCATGGTAGGATGGAGCATACCTCGTTGGACCACAATTAGACACACCGAATAACTCAGGTTTGAAGGGGCCTTTAGAGGTCGTCTAGTCCAACCTCCTGCTCGCCGCAGGGTCTACAGCAGGCCGTCTGCTTTCAGAGTATTACGTTTGGTTTGAAGTATCTGGAATGACGTAGAAAAGGTGATTAGGGAATGACCGCTGTTTTTTTTCTGAGAATACAGGAAGTGAATGGTTTCCTAATAACTTATCAGGTAACAGGCTTACAATAAGCAAAATGACATAATTTTTAAACGTGTTTGGTTATGTTGTAGAACGAACTGCTGCAGGATGTGGTGGAGTCCGAATAGAAATGAGATGAAAAAGGGATTACGCCAAGTCATGTTTTAAACCAGATCCTGTGTGCAGTGACAGGGAGTATTATTCTAAGGATGATACGTCCTTACCCCTGGCAAATGATCTTTCCCTGGCAAATGCTACCAGCCGTTCTCAGGCTACCTGCCCTGTTAGAACTTTGATCTGATCTTTTCTCAGAGCTTTTAACTGTTTTGTATGTTATATTAGATTAAAACTAATAGTAAAGAGAAGTTTTAGCCATGCAAACTTGTAACCACAGTAACCAATAATGTGTCAAAATGCTCACGTTGTCTTTTTATCTTGAAAGGTAGAGGATGAGCTGGTAGCCCTGCAGAAGAAGTTGAAAGGAACTGAAGATGAACTAGATAAGTACTCGGAGGCTCTCAAAGATGCCCAGGAAAAACTAGAGCAGGCTGAAAAGAAGGCAACGGATGTATGTACCTACAGCTAATGTTTGTCTCTCACTAGGTTTTGTATGTTTTGCTATATGTATGTAGTACATTGGAGATATAAATCGCTGAGAATTATTATACTGCAGTACTCTCCTCAGGGGATAGAAAAAACTGTATTATGTTTCAGGTACGTAAGTCTCTTCTGCCAAAATGAACTGAGGACCGGTTCTTTTGCAGTGAGCGCCTGCCACACAAAGCTGCCCTGAGGATTCAGCTTGACTGAGGGCTTTATGGCTATGCAGAGGTGAACTCGTGGCACCCCTCTGGGGTCTGGACCAGTAAGGGGTTCCTGGAGCCGGGGAGAACATTTGTGGGGGGAGGAGGGGGGACTTCTTTAATAGAAGTCAATGAAACAGTGATCTTTCTGGGAATCTGAGGCAGAAGCAGGGTCCTGCTCTGGCATAAGGGCGCAGTTTGTCAACATGCTGTTGGCTTCGGTCACACGCACGCACAAAGGAAAAAGGGGGAAAAAGTCCCCGGGGAACCCAGGAGCGCGGTGCCTGCCGCGCTGGTGCGGTCAGGGCT